GGTCGCCACAGCGGGATGAACCGCCAACTATTCAGGCATATGTTTTATGCAGCGGATGCCCTTCCAGCTGAAACCCACAACTGGTGAAAGTGAAAGCATGCTGAAATATTAACGAGAGCTGTTCATCCTTTAGGAACTTTGACTGAACTGCAGTCTAGCCAAGGGCTACGCATGAGAGAGTCTTACCTCTGATTTATATCTGCTGACGATGTCTGTGGGCGTCATCATTCAAAATTAAAGCGCAGCTTTCCGCTTATAATGTCTTATTGCCCATTGCCATGAATTAAAATAAGGATGCAGGACAGCAAAATAAACCATTAAACTCTGACCAATGTAAGGAGAGGTAACTCACACATGACTTGTTTTAGCTATTTTGGTCCATTTAGAAACTTTACCATGTGAAAGCGAACCGCACCAAGAACAAAGAGCAACACTGTAACAAATTTAATTCTTGATTCCGAACAAATGAATCGATTCACAGGTGTGAAAGCACCCTAAATATGAAAAATATTCCTTCTATCGCGTCGTTGCTTTTATTTAAAACATGACTTAAATCACGCAGCAGGTAGTGCTGTCGCCTCACAGCAAGAAGGTCGCTGGTTCGAGCCTCGGCTCAGTTGGCGTTTCTGTGTGGAGTTTGCATGTTCTCCCTGCAATCACGTGGGTTTCCTCTGGGAGCTCCGGTTTCCCCCACAGTCAAAGACAGGCAGTACAGGTCAATTGTCTAAATTGTGCATAGTGTGTGAATGTGTGTGTGGATGTTTCCCAGGGATGGGTTGCAATTACAACTGGGTTGGATAAGTCCGCTGTTGCGACTCCGGATTGATAAAGGGAGTAAGCCGACAAGAAAATGAATGAATGAATGAATGAATGAATGAATGACTTCAATCAGCCTTTAGGCTTGACAGTCAGGCACACTCCTGTTGGTGTCGTCAATCTGGCAACCTGCGCTTGAAAGTGTTTTGAACCAGCTGTGCAATACCTAGTTCAACCACTGGATATCAAACTTAGATACTGCACCTTTAAAAATATTTTTTACCGAGCATTTTTTTGGTGTATTTGCATTTCTTTTTTTTCCTTAACCATTTAAATAAATAAATGAAAAATAAATAAATAATAAATAAGTAAATTCATTAATTAATTTTTATTATCATATGAATTAATTACGCTATATTACATATTATAATATAATACAATTTACATAGTATTAAACAATATATAATGCACACATTATATGTCATTATTATTCATTTAAAATCAATTAATTTAATAATTTAAAATAAATGATTTTACATAAATAAAACACACATACATAGACTAAACTACACACCGTACAATAGAAATAAATGTAGATCAATATTTTAATTATTTTTAATACATGTTATTAATTGTAATGTTTTAGTAAAGATGTGGAACAGAGCTGGAAATAGCCAGCGAAGACAGGCAAGACCTCTGTATTACCATCTTATTGTAATGATTACATAATATGATGAAATATGTGTGTGTGTGTGTGTGTGTGTGTGGTCAGCAGTGATTCTCCATCGGGGTTTATTGCATCAGTCGCTCCTGCAGGCATACCCTGACGGCTTGTCCACACACACACATGCACACTATCACACACACAAACACACTCAGGTGGGTTTTTGGGATTTATGAGGACTTTCCATAGGCACACATATTTTATACTGTAAAAACTTCTTATTATATGGCCTGACACACATTATATGACCAGGCACACACACACTCATTTACACTGAGTTAGTATGTGTGTGCAGTGCATGCTGGGTAATGAGGGACTCACCCTGTATGTGAACTGGACCGTTTTTGAGGACACGCCTTTCCTTCCTCTGCCCACCTCGATCTCCACCACTCCACTTTTACGCAAGCTCGCCGGCCCGATTTCACAAATCACACTGAAACACACAACACACACAAGTTATAATAAATATATGGTAATAACATTACCATGGCAAATAACACACAGATTAATATAAGCAGTCTTTCTTTCTTTCTTTCTTTCTTTCTTTCTTTCTTTCTTTGAGGGCAAATATAATATATATTTATATTATTACAATAAATACAAGCAAGTTTATAATAATATATATACAATGTATATAATATATAATAATAATACATATGGCTAAATGAAAATGTTAATTATAAAAATTATATATATATATATATATATATATCTCAGAGACAGATTACAATTGTCAAATTATATAGCATGTTTACATATATATATATATATATATATATATATATATATATATATATATATATATATATATATATATATATGTATTTCTCTGACTCACACACATATATATATATATATATATATATATATATATATATATATATATATATATATATATATATATATATATTTATTTTTTTTTATTTTATATATATATATATATATATATACATACATGTATACATAAAATATATATATATATATATATATATATATGTGCGCGCGCGCGCGCGCGCGCGT